GCTTGGAAGAGTTTTGTTTGATTATAACTACTTAGGATAACCCTTACAGGAGAGTCTAGATTTTCTATTTTTCATAGATGTAATGTATTTGATAGTGATTGTTATTAAAATCTAAAATTAAAGCATTTTTAAAGAGATAGGAATCCAAAGGGAAAAGTAAATCCTTATAGAGGGTTTTCTTTTTCATTTGGATATCCTTTTGGAGCGTTCACTATGAGGAGTCCAAAGGGAAAAGTAAACCCCTACGGGGGGTTTCCTTTTTCATTTGGGCATTCTTCTGGAGCGTTCACTACGAGGAGCCCGAATGACTGAAGATCATCCAAAGACGAATCAAGGAAGTGAAAAAGAAGAAGACTGAAGATCGAAGATAAAAATGCCTCATTTTAAGATTTGTGACGTTTTCGGGTTGTCGTATGTGGAGCCCGGCCACCATTACTTTCTGTACTCTGAGATGTAATATTGTATGGCACTTGCCATGGACACTTTTTTTCGTAGGATTTTGTTTTTGTTGTTGTTTGTTTACTTTGTTTGCGCAGTAGAACTGGCATGCTTTCATAGATTTCCTTCTTACATGTGCTTGCGCCTGACCGTTAGGCTCTTTTAGGGATAAAAATTCTTCTACTCGTAATTAATAATAAAATTTAAGATTAACTCACATAGAAACATAACGATTCTAAGGAATAACCAGAATTGTCCGGGGTCGCATACATGCATTCTCTCTCCTTTTAGACAACTTTCCCGCCTGCGGGTAGAGTCAAGATAATCTGGCCTATGAGGATGAAGTGCCAGACCTGGGGAAGTTTAGTCATTCTTAAAAATTATTTTATAAGCCCTTTTGAAAATTGCACACATTCCTGATTTGGAGACTTTAACCAGCATAAACTACATTAGTAACTAATTAAAAATTAAAATTTAATTGCACTAGTTCTAGAAGCATTATACCACTCAAAAGTGTGGGATCACTTAGGAATTTTTCTAGTTTGTTGATCCCAAATTTCAGCATGGATTTTATACGATTAGGTGGTTTTAGCTGGTTTCCTCTTTCAAGCGAGGAGTAAGTTCAGGATTGCATTAGTTAGGTCGTAGATGCTAGTGTCGTGTGTACGATACTACATCTTTTATAGATTTAGGATCTAAAGGTGAGGGGTACGAGTGTACCTCTATACGCCTTATTGGTAGGTAAGCATTCTTTTCTTCGGAGGCTATAAATCCTACCCATCCGCGTCACACAGATGACGCCACCTCCTTCATTCTCTCGTGCATGTCTGAGTGTGTTGTCCTTTCTTTTTCTCCAGTTTTCTCTTCTTCAGACTGGCCGGATGTTGACTGAATCACGTGTGATTGATTGAGCCAAGTTGGGACCTCCCCCTTTGATTAGGAAAGCCTAGAAAACCCCTTTGCACTAAACCCATTAGAAAAGATATCACTAAGACATTCAAATGTTTATCAAACAATTAACAATTAAAGGATTCAGCATCAACCGTCCATGCAAACCACTCCTCATTTGTCCTTGATCTTCCACCTATTTCCAGGCCATGCCACTCAAAGAAATCTATAAATAGAGCCCGTTATTGAAAAGGGGACCCCTAAGCCAAAGGATTCAAGAGAGAGATCAGAGACCGCTCTTGCCTCCTTACTTCCTCGACCATCGCCCAGAGTTCCACCAGACCACCACATGACATCCTAAGCTTCGTCGAACCACCGCTTGATGCCCTGAGCTCCGTCGGACCACCACCTGACATCTTAAGCTCCATCGGACCCATGCTATATGCCCTGAGATCTGGCGGACCACCACCTGACATCCGACGCTCTGTTATACCACCGCTTGACGAGTAATTATTACGTCCGGACAAAAAACTAGAAATCTGGATGTATACCGAGCAATACCGAGTGCTCAATACTTAGTTTTAGGTGACATGGCGCGTGATTATTGGTCTCTGGATGCGTCAGGTGACCTGACGTAATAATTGCTCCAACTTGACGCCCTGAGGTCCGTCGGACCACCACCTGATGTCCTAAGCTCCGTCGGACCACCACTTGATACCCTGAGGTCCTCCGGAACACCACCTCACATCCTAAGATCTATCGGACCATCGCTAAATGCCAGGAGTTCTACCAGATCACCACATGACACCAAAGTTTAGCCAGACTACTACACGAGGTCCTAAATTCTGCCAGACCACCGCTTGACGCCCTAAGTTTTGCTGAACTACAACTAATTCCCGGAGTTCTTTCGAGTCACCTATGGACACCAAGAGTTCTACTAACTGATACCCAAACTTCCAAGTGATGTCAGAATTCTGTTAGATCACCGGGTGACCCTGAAGTTCATCCAGACCATCAAGTGACGTCCGACTTTCATTTACCCATGACTTCAACCATACTGATGATATTTATAATCTGATCGCCTTCAGGGGTGAGTCAGCCCACAATAACCTATTGAAATTCTAGTGGAATCATTTTCAATTGGGTCATGCCCCATGGTTTTTCCCCTTTCCAAGGTTTTCCACATAAAAATGTTATGTTCTCTGTGCATGAGTTGGATATTCGTGCAATGCTAAGACGTAGGATCATAACTCTATCTCCGTGTATATTCTAGCCTGCAATAGTAATGTACATGAGCGTCGACGACAACGACAATGATGGATGTTGTGAGCAGATGCCAAGCTATGCAATGTATTTAAAAGAGGTTGAATCGAACAAATTCAAATTGCATTGAAAATAAATCTAAGAAAAAAGTTATAAATACACAACAAATTACTTTATCTTATTTCTTATATTCCAATGAAATAACTAAATTTTGATAACCCCTTTTTATTTTTACTCTTCAATCTTTTTTCTGCAAATAGAGTCTTAGAAGAAAAGTAACACAACAGTTATGTGGCCCCATTGAAAATTGAAATTGAAATTTTTGGCAGGATACACATCTAATATAAGATTAATAAATTTTTTTATGCATTCGTTCTGTCTCTCTTAGTGTTGAAGCATAAAAAACTTCTCTAATTGGGAAAAATCCTTTGAAAAGAAAATAAATCAAACATTTCATGAGATTTAGGCTTTGTTTAAGAAGGCTTTCTTATTGCTTCTTAAAGCAGCTTTATAGTACAAATTTTAATTTTTGCACTAAAAAGCTGCTTTAAGAAGTAGAAAGAAAGCCATCCCAAATGAAGCCTTAGGCATAATTGGGACAATTTTCTTATTGCTTTTTTAAAAAAAAAAAATTAGCATAAAATTTTTTGAATTAGAAAAATTTATACTAAAAAAATATTTTAAAAAACAATAAAAAAAATATTCTAAACAGAAGGTTCAAAAGAACCCATTTACCATTTGGCTAAAAAGAGCCTCTTTACAATTGATACGCCGCATCAAACATGCACATGCAAACATTCCTTATTTATTCATAAAAGAGACTTTAACATGTCATTCATATGTATGGTCTAATGTTCTCATATGGTGGATACATGTTTTCATAATTACATGAGAAAAGATAGATGCTCATATATATTGCATGTAGAAGAAGCCATATGCATTACGTGTAAAAGAAACATAAGCTTTATACTTTCTACTATCATTACTTGAGAGATTTGCATTTGTATCATGTGTTTAAAAGTATTCATGTAGGAACATGCTAGTTACATATGGAATTACAAGTAGCATATAAAAGAAATAACATTTCAACATGATTGTGCTGATAACATGCTGATTAGGGGTATTTAGGTGCCTCATATGTGCTCTTTTTGCAATTGTTTTGCTGAAAATCACAATCATCTTTCTTTGATTGTGACTTCTCATTTAACATTCTCAAGTTTATCTTACCCAAAGTAAACTGTTTCTTGTTGAGGCCCACATTAGCTCAGGTTTTAGAATTCTTTATCAATTCCAATTCCTATAGCATATTAGTGAAGGATTTTTGCTGCTTATCTGTTAGCTGCATTTTGTACCACATTTGGCGTGAGAGAAACAACCGTTGTTTCTCTGATTTTAGAATCAATTCGATTAAACTGATTTGCAACATCTCTACTGCTATTAGATTTAAAATTTCAAGATGGAAAAACAACGAAAATCTACTCCAAAGGTTCACTGGCATCTAAATCTTTTTGGGTTTTTGCTGTGCTTAAAGTTTTTCTGCAACGTTTTTACTTCTGGTTCTGCCTACGGTTTATGCTGCAATGTTTGGCTATATGGTTTTTTGGGAGTTTTGGTTTTGGTTCCTCTTCTTTTTCAGACCTGGGAAGATCATTTTGGTGATTGTGGCTGGTTTTCCCCTTCAGTCCAATCCTGTTCATTTTTGAAGAACATGGTGCTCATTTCTTGGGTATACGGCTTGGTTGATTTCCGTCTTGATGGCTACTACTACTGGAGGCAATTCAACAATCAGACAATGATGAGCAAGACCAGATCTTACTTTCTTGTCATGGAGGGCCTTTCTGGCAACCTGGCGCATTTCTTTGACGCGTTTCGTGTTGGCTGGAGGCTCTGCGACAGCCTTCTTCTCTGGATCTGTAGGCAACCGGAGCAATCGCCTTCGCCTGATGGTTTTTCAGACTGAATATTTATGATGACTGGATCTAGCCTTTTTAACCTGAGTCCTTATTATTGTTTGTCTCCTTGTTGTAATCTCAAATGGCTCTTGTCTTATGTTCTTAGCTATTTTCTTTTATAGTTTCTTTTCTTCCTTACAGGTTACTTGTATTTTGAATTTTGATTTTTAATACATGAGCTTTTGCCCTGGTTTACCCAAAAAAAAAAGTGACTTCCGAGTACTTAAAAAAGCTACTTCAAAAATATTAAAAAAATGCACCAAATGAAGTGTTAATTTAGAATTTGATTTTTTATAGAACACAATGAAAAAAAATGATTCATAATGGAATAAAGAATTGATATTATTTTTATTATATTTTAGCAAATTAACTTTCGATGATATAAATTACACAAAAATTCCAAAAAATTTAGAGAGAGACACGTGCCCTTTGTTCTTAGAAATTCTTTGCCGAACAAAATACACAAAGCAACTCCTTTGTTTACTTTACTTCTCTTTACAGAACAACCATACTCATCAAAGAGTTTTTTACAGGCCAAAAAAAAAAAAACGGATACGGGTATTTTTAGCATACAGCAGTTACAAAAAAAAAAAAAGCCTATTTAACTCTTTGAACCCGAAAAAAAAGAAGAAGCGGATATTTATAGAAGTTCCGCAATCAAAATCAAATTTACAGATTCATCTTTCTTCTTCAGCAAATTCTTTCATGGGGTTTCATGTCAGGTTCGCCACGCATGTGGCAGTCCCGCCGCTTGTAATCCATGGATGCCCTGAAACGAAACAAGAAAAATCCTCTTTAATGTCTAAAATTTGAAGAAAAAACAGTAGAATCTGACAGAGAAACCAGAGAGTTTCAAAAAAATTAAACCTAAGGAGACTAAAATCTCCCCAAACCTAAGCAAAAACGGAAATAGTTTTCAAGCTGGGAATTAAACTTACTGAGAACTTGCTCTGCAGAAAATCGACGGGATACATCCTTGCAAATCATCCGTCGCATGAGATCCTTGGCCGCCGGCGAAATCCCCCCAAAAATTCTAGTCGGAAACCGGAGATTCCCCCTCAAAACAGCCTCAAAAATCTCCTCCACCGTCTCCCCATAAAACGGCGGGATCCCTCCCAACATTATATACATCACAACCCCTGCACTCCACACATCAACCTTCTCTCCATAATCCCTCCCCGCCACAACCTCCGGCGCCACGTAGTACGGCGTACCCACAACCCCACTCATCGCCGTTCCCTCCCCAAAGCACTCTGCGGATCCGAAATCCGCCAGTCTCAGCCGCCCCTCACCATCAAATAGCACATTGTCCGGCTTCACATCCCGGTGCACGACTCCCCTCCGATGGCAAATCCACAACGCCTCCATCATCGCGGCTATCACCGCCGCAGCATCCTCCTCCCCCATCGGCGCACCTTCTCCGGCGGCGATGCGATCAAAGAGGTCACCGCCGTCGCAAAGATCCATCACAAGGTGGATCGAGGACTCGTCTTCGTAGGCAGCGTGGATCTGAACGACGTTAGGGTTTCCGGCGGCGGCGATTTGCGTGACCTTGGCCTCTCTTTCGGCGCAATCGCGGTCCACGGCGTCGTTGAGGTAGGTCTTGTCGACGGATTTGACCGCAAAGACCTCGCCGGTGTCACGCGAGTAGCAGCGATACACGGAGCCGAATCGGCCGCGGCCGATCTCTTCTCCGACGTGGTAATCTCTCGTCAATCTCTCGCTCATGCTTTTTGTTCACCTTCCAAATCTCTTTTTGTTCCCCTTTCAAATCTCTCTTTACCCAACTGCTCTTATTTATAAGACTATACTGCTACTGGGATCTCGGAGCATATTCCGTCCGATTCTTTGGCACATGTTGAAGGAATCTCGGCCGTTAAATAGTTAATTAACGGTGCGTAGGAGACGGCGTCCTTTGTATTTACGGAAAGTGCGTCTGAGGCGGCGTAATGATCGCAGAGAGGAAGGATTCGGAGATGATTACGGCGTGTTTAGCTCATAAATAATTATACTTTTTTTTGTCGATTTTGGATTAAAATATTATTTTGGGAAAATGATAAAATTTATTAAATTTAGAAATTTTTACATCCATAACATACTAATATATCATCTAATATTTAATGTAAAATTTAAATTCATGCATATAATTTTTAGGATGTCACTGTCCTAATTTTTATTAAATCCGTTTATCAAAAATAGTAAGGGTAGAATTATTGGACATTTACTTGCATGTTAAGTTAATGGACTTTACTATCAAATTAGAGAAAAATATTATGTGCGGACAGCGGACAGCATCCGGAAACCAATCAAAAAGTGTCAAGTCATTTTTTTACTTGGTATCGATAATCGGTATCGCTCGTTAACGAGTGACGTGGCGCATTTTGGTTAGTCTCTAGACCGTCCGGTGTCAGTACAAAATAATTTCTCCTAACTAGTAGTACAAAATAATTTAATCGCAAAAGAAAATAGAGTACAAAATAATAAATTCGAACTTTGCTCCAAATTTCATCACATATGATTGAAAATTTATCAATTATGTTCGAACATTGATCAAAACATTTCAGACCTAATTCGTACTATCTTTGACTCATGATTGAATCTTATTGCTGATTGTTTGGTCCCATTTTCGAAATGAAAATAAGATCAAATAAGCTTTGAAGAATGCTCAATCATATGTTAAACTAATATCGTGATTAATAGTCTGACATCTAATATTCTTCTATATTTAAGATTCAGAGTGTAAATATATAACATCATTAAAGTTCAATGATAATATTAAACGTTTTGTAACTCATTATAATATAAATAAATATTAAAATATTTTGATATAAATTTCTTTTCAAATTTTATTAGATTATTATTTTTATTATTGGTGATAGATTTTTTAATTGTCTATTTTAGGCGCTTTTGATTATTTTTATAGAGCCTTATAAAAGATGCATATTTATTTGAATAATATTTCCTGTTGATTTTAGTGGAGGCTTTTAATATCATTAAAAAATATACATTTTAGGTCAGCTTTTCTTCCGTTGGACCGGAACGTGGAAATACGAGAGCAAAGAGTAGACCCGGCTCATTTCCCAAAAAAATAATAACAAAAGACCCGACCGGACGTTCGTACGGTTGATGGTATGACACGTGTACGGCTGCAATGTGTTATGGGCTTGGGTTTGGGCTATTACTGTGAGAGGTGGGGCCCATGTGTGGCGTGGAGTAGGGGACATTGTCATGTGGTCTCTGAATAATTTTTTATTTTTTATTTTTATTTTTATTTTTATTTTATTATTATTATTTTTACTATAGTTCATAACATTGAGGGTCGATTTATGCCCTATTTTTTTATGAAGGTGGAGCCCACGGTAAAGATGCCTTTGGGTTTCTGTTGGAATTTCAAATGCTACGGGTTGATACGTTGGTGTAGCTATCACGTGCCATGTCTTTCCTCCGGTTTAAAAATATTTGGACACGTGGCTTCAATAAAATTTATTATAATGTTTGTTAGATGTCAATTAATTTAGTTAATAAAAATTAAAATTATTATTATTATCATGAATTTGAATCTCATTTATATTAACTTTATATATTGAGATGTATCATTTTTGTTAGAAAATTTATTTAATCAAACACAAAGCTTGATATATATATATGAGTGGATAAGTTATAAAACTAAATTCATGGTTATTAGAATTTAGAGTTCAATAAATTTATAGTTGAATTGAAAGTATCGATGAGAATATCCTATGACACAAATATTAATTTTACATCCACGCCAGCCCAAGAATACCTGTTTTCTTTAAACTCGTTATTTCCTATTGCATATGCACTTTACACGTGTATGCACAAGACTCTTTCTTATCTCACGTTGGCTTATTATACTATTGTATAATTCCATTATATGTAATGAATTTCGCTATGTCTTACTTCTTTTTCTCTGCATTTCATGTTTTGGTTCTTTTGGTTTTCGTGGTATCAGAGCAGAATACCTTGTGATACCTATCTTTTTTCGTATTCTTTCTCCCAGCCATGGATTCCTCCTCAGTTTCTCTTGTGGCGGCATCAAATCAACCCACAAGCATTCGCACTTCTACCGATCTTTCTCTGATTCCCTCTCAACTCAAATTTCTGGTTAGTAACATAAAAAGCATTGTTTCTACAACTCTGGATTCCAACAACTATCCTATATGGAGATCACAAATTTTAAAAATCTTTAGTGCAAATGGATTTGAAACCTTCCTTGACGGTTCTTGTATTTGCCCGTCCCCTCAAGACTCATCTAATTACAATTCCTACTCATATCAAACTTGGATCCTTATCGATCAAAACCTTGCCGCAACTCTTTATTCGGTCATCTCCTCCACAACCTTGCCTTACGTTCTTTCTTTAGAACACTACGCCGAAATATGGGAAAATCTCGCTCGTCGCCTTCAATCCACTACATGATCTCGCCTCATTCATCTTAAGAATGAATTACATCACATCTCCATGAAAGATCAAACTATGACTCAATATCTTCTTAACAACAAATCAAAGGTCGATGCTATTGCTGCCACCGGTGCCCCTCTTGATCCAGAGGACGTCATTCTTTATACCCTGAATGGCCTTCATGCATAATATCAAGCTTTTAAAACTGCCATATGCACTAACCTCAATCCTATTTCCTTAGATGATCTTTAAACACTCTGTAGCAAAGAACACAATCTTGCCCACGAAACTACTCGTGACCTCCACAATCTTCAAATTTTCGAACCTCAAATGGCTCTTACGACTTATCGTGGTCGTTGAAGATGTCACAATTCTACAAATCGTAGTTGCAGCTACCCAGGTCGATCCGCTCGCAGCTACCCAGGTCATTCCAACAAGAATCCATCATCTAACGCCATCTGTCAAATTTATTTCAAGAAAGGGCAATCAACTCTCTATTGTTGGCACCGTCACGAATCGTCCTACAACGAAGATTCTAAAAAACTAGCTCTCTTTTCACCCACGAAGTCCACTACCAATTCCTATTAGTTTCTTGATAGTGGTGCTACAAGTCATCTTACCTCGGACTTATCCAATCTCACTTCACCCAAATCTTATACCGTAAACAATCAAGTAATTCTAGGCAACGGACAGAATCTTCCAGTTCAACACTATGGTAAAGGAATTCTTGAAACACCCCGTTGGTAATCTCAATTTACAACATCTATATCATGTTTCGAATGTGTCATTCAATCTTATATCTGACCATTACTTTAATTTTGATAACCATTGCAGCACTACTTTCTCTCTAATGGTTTCAAAATTCAGGACATGAAGACAGGCCACCTTCTTCTTCAGGGTCCGTGTATTAATGGACTATATCCTCTTCAACTCTTCACGTCCAATCACTCTTTAGCTTTTCTCTTCACACATACTATTCCTAACCTCTGACATCGTTGGCTCGATCACCCCGCGTCCAGTACTCAACACAACTTAACGAAAAGCATATCTAACGTCTGTTTTAGTTCATCTCACTATTCTTATAATTCTTGTAAAATGGCAAAAGCCATCGCATTCCATTCTCTCCTTCTAAAACTTCTATATATATTGTATTTTTGAACTTGTGCATTCGGATGTATGGGGTCCACCTCCCAAAATATCATTGCAAGGATATCGTTACTATGTATCTTTTATTGATGATTTCTCCAGATTTTGTTGGATTTACCCGCTTCGTTATAAATCTGAAGTCTTATCTAAATTTGTTGAATTTAGCAAAATGATTGGTCGCCAATTCAATAAACGCATCATTACTTTTTGAACTGACGGCAATGGAGAATATATCAATAATCAATTCAAAATGCTCTGCACTCATTGGGGCTTTCATCATCAATTATCCTGCACTTACACTCTAGCACAAAACGGTATTGCCAAACTAAAACATATGCATATTCTTGAAACAATTTGTAGTCTTCTCTTCGAAGCCAATCTTCCTTCTTCACTTTTGGTCGAGGCACTTCACACTGCTATTTATCTCATCAATAGGTTACCCACCCCAACACTCAACAATCTCAGTCCTTATGCCAAGTTATACGACAAGTCACCCTCATATTTTCACTTGAAAATTTTTGGATGTCTATGCTATCCGTGGTTGCGTCCCTACACCAATTCTAAACTATCTCCCATATATTTACCATGCATTTTTATTTAATATGCTAGTTTCAAAAAGGGTATCGTTGTCTTCATCCCTCTACAGGAAAAATCTATATATCTAGGCATGTCATTTTTAATGAAGCTATATTTCCTTTCAATCAACTTAAAAATTCCACTGATTCCACACCTTCTTCTCAATATATGCATTCACTTCTCCTCATTCGTACATCTGGTTCTCATCAATATGTTCCCATTGACTCTTCATCCAAAAATACACAAATTACTCAATCATCTCTTATCAGGTTCCCTTCTCCAAAATCTCACACCAATGACACATCCCGTTCTTCCACACATACTAGCCCCAACCGTCCTATCCCGAAGCCTACTCATCATATGCAAACTTGACTCAAAACTAAAAATCCCAAACCCAAAACTATCTTTAATCTTCTCCATCAACATAACATCACCGATCCCACTAATTATACCAAGGCTGCCAAATTGAACACTAGCGGACCGCTATGTCCGAAAAATTTCAAGCCCTTCAATCTCAAGGCACATGGGAACTTGTCCCTCCTCATCCCTCACAAAATCTCCTTGGCTGTCATTGGACGTTTCACATAAAATTCCCAGCCGATGGCACTATAGCTAGGTATAAGGCTCGCTTAGTCGCT